ACCGATATCAAATTCAAACTTGAATCGCTCAATCTACGTATCACTTGGCCAGTCAAAATGGAGTTATGGTTAATGTATCACAAGCCCTTCGTACATGACCAGAATGAGACTGTGTGACAATTGAGATAGGAATTGACCGTTATCCTTATGAATTCGATTTTAGTGCAACCGAATAAACTAAAATTTATAATTTTTAATTGTATATATTTGAAATAGACGTAGTTATATTGTACACACTGTAATATTAATAAATTGAACAAAAAGGAAAACCGAGATGACCTACAAATGGTTTTGATATAGATTCAGTAAAACTGATAAAACTAAAAACCAGAAAAATCAAACCCAACAAATCCGTAAATGAAGATGCAGTGACAAAAATAATAAAGTGGATTAAATTCTTAAATCAAAGTTTCCCCGTTAACACAGAATGCTTACATCTCAATCTCCCCTGAACACAGCATTGATTAACTCTTTGAGATTCCTGCATCCGACTATCTCAATCTCTTTCAAATCCAACGCCTTCAGTGACTTCTCCACTGATTTAGGAACCACACATTTGGTGAACCCTAGCTTTGCCACTGTACTTACCCTCTTCTCCATTCTCGGTACCTGTACCATTATCCTTGAATCATATTCATCCTAAATTCTTTTTAAGTAACAATTAGCTCATTCTTCCTATGTTACTGCTTACCGTGCGAACCTCCCCCCCTAGACCAATCTCGCCGATGAATGCTACTCCATGAGGAATTGGAAACTCCAAAAAACTGGATTATATATATATGCAATTACACACTAGTGCTTCATCATTTGTAAGTGTAACTAGATTTGCAGATTTTATTTAGTAGTAGATAACACTACCTGCTACAGATTGCTGCTGCTATAGCAAGGTCGCCAGCAGTCTCAGAAAGAGCCATCCCGTTAGCCACGTTCAGAAAAATCGCCTAAAAACAAAATATCCATTATTAACTCACGACTGCAATCACTAGGATATTGGAGGGAACAAGAATCACATTGCAATTTGACACAATAGTAAGAAATCTCTGAACTTACATTTTCCTGAATTCGAAGGCCAGCTTGCTTCATAAGAACCTGTGATGATGTGATATGCCGGAACGTAACAAAACAACCATGTTTATTATTAAGGAAAGTAGAAGAGAGGGCCTATAGTACCAAACGTATTTTGTTATTGGACAATAAGAAAAGACCATGTTAGTAGTAGCACTCACCGCAATTATCATGTCAGCTCTGCTTGCTTGAACACCATTGACATGCCTGGAAACTGTTGAGCCAGACGCACACAACGCCTACATAAAGACAAAAACCAATGTATAAACAAGAACTACAATACTTTGTTGCTTCAAGGTCCACTAAGACTTTCAAGTTAAGCACATAAGGGTAGCTAAGTATGAGAGGTCAGCCCACTATCATCTATTCAGAAAATACATACTACGGCCAATGTAAGTCATGATTCTCATCATATTGACAATAACAAAAATGTATCAAGACTTTCTGAACGTAGTTTAACTTATCATGCCAGAGACCAATTACAGTTATTGGACTTCTAAAGCAGAAGAAGAGAATGAAACAGAATTTTCTGGTGATCTACCTGAACTTCAATGAGGAAACTCCGAGATCCATCCATAACAACTGCTACAGCTAATCCAGCTAAAACATCTGAATCTGAGTTCTGTTGACTAAGGAATATGCCGCTAGGGTTTGAGACCACGTCAAGTCCTGATTGTGACATTTCAAAAACTCCAAGCTGACAAAAGAGATATCCACGATTTATTCAATAATTATTAGCTCAAAATAAAATAAGTTTACAGATGACAAGCAACCTCAAACCACATAACAGAAAAAAGGGAACACAATCCTCAGGAATGAGAGATGCTTGAACTAGAAATTTCTTGAGAAAAAAAAGCCAGCAAGGGAAAACAATATCATGAATTAATCTGCAAAGGCATACTAATGTTATGTGGTCATATCAAGGATTTGTATACATACTTCATCAGTGGACCCGAACCGATTCTTCACAGATCGAAGCAAGCGGTAAGTTGAATGTTCTTCACCCTGAAATTTGACAGAAAATAAATTTCAAGCAACCGTCTTCTGTCATATCTCATAACAAGTCAAAGCTCATATACTTAATAATTCATACTTGCTACAGTCTATAAAGAGGTTATCAAGCAAATCAAAACAAACCAAAAGTATTTAGTTTGAACTACATAGCGCCATCGGTTGAAGGAGATAATCAAGATTGCATATTTAAAGACAACAGAAAACAAAAAGCTGAACACCTCCATGTACAAGACAACATCTACTATGTGCTCCAAAACACGAGGTCCTGCGATATCGCCCGCCTTTGTAACATGTCCAACCTAAAGCAGAAAGTAGTGTGCATAAAAGAGCTGATCAAGATCAAACACCACAGATTTACATTCGCACAAAGAAATAGTCGGCTGGAGGGTGCTTACCAAGAAAACAGGGACATTAGATTTCTTAGCAAAACGCAACAGGGTTGATGTGCACTCTTTAACCTGTCACCATCAGAGATACCAAGAAAATAACCTTTTCAGCAGATTAGAAAAAATAAGGGAAGATTGGTCTATATCTACCACATAAAAGTTCGTTTTAACCATAACTAAAAGGTGTGGTGGGAAGCAACAAAAGCAGCTATGGCTTAATTTCTTGCCCAATAGTAATTAGAAGAAAACTTTAGTGAGAGACAAAGAGAGGAGGAAAACTTTTAAACCTGTGTGAGACCACCAGCGCTTCCAGTCACCTCTTTTAGGTAAACCGTTTGAATAGAATCAATGATGAGAGCTCGGGGAGATAGCCAATGAGCTTTTGTTAGAATATCCTGAAATAAATTAAAACAGATGACACGCTTCAGGTAATCTACCATGTTCCTGAAAGAAAAATCAAGACTAACTAATTATTTCCAGTTATGATACGGAAATGCTTGATAATTTCACACAACACAGAGTTGGTGTCTGACACGTAAACATGAGGAAAAATAACTTGGAGACTAAAAGTAAGGTACAAAATAAGGAACGTTGCATTGCTTAGGTGTTTAGAGAAATGTTTAATATGACTTCTGTTTCTTTACGATTAGAAGAATACTAATCCACATAAATAAATAAAAAAGTATACCTGAAGATCAGAGCTCGAAAACAGGTAGAGCTCGTCAGTTTCAATTTTCATCCTGTCAGCCCGACTTCCTATTTGCTCGACGCTCTGCAATTAGGCAAAAGATAGACGATCTTATGAAAAACGTGTAATCAAATCAACAGAAAGTGTGGGACGAGATTCTTCAGATCAAACTAAAAGTAACAAATCTCCACCGTAAAATAGAAAAGGAGAGAAGAAAAACAGCCAACATTTTTCTGCTTATAAAGTGCAGATAGACTGAATTAAGGTGCTAGAAGCCTAGAACTGGAGCTAAGATTACTTTGCTGCATCTTAATGGTTGACAAGAAATACAGCCATGAATCAAATATACGATCCACAAGTCTAGAAACAGAAACCTAGTGTGAGGAAGACAAGGAAAGAGAGGTAGGAGAAAATGCAGCTTTCAGAAAATCAGTGAACATGACATGACTACTACTAACCTCTTCACCAGAGACATACAAAACCGGTGCTGGCTGGGCCAAATCACTCCCCTGAGCAATTATGGATGCAATCTTCCATTTAAGAAAACGGAAAGAACATCAGTGAACCGTTATGTACATTGCAAACACGCAATGAACAAACGGTTGTTGCATTACTAGAAGTTGACTAACATTTGCAAAGGGAAGAAAAAGTAATTAAAATGGCATCTCCTGACCTGCAATAACAAGGTACTCTTGCCAATACCAGGGTCACCACCAATCAAAATCAGGGAACCTAGAAAAAAAGCACCATTGACAATGTTTGAGAAACATAAGATGAACACTCGCTTTGGAAAGACCAAATAATAAAATCATGATACAACCTGGGGCAAGACCACCACCAAGCACTCTGCCAACTTCATTTCCAAAATGTCCAGGCCTAACCATAAAATCCATCATGTCTTAGATTGGAACAAAATCATATCACCACAAAGAGCTAGACCGTTCTAACCAATGATTTCTAGAAAAGGAGTTAAGAGGCAAAACTCATCACTCAAGTGAAGGGAAAGGAACATACAGCGAAATTCTCCATTGGTGCTGAGTAATTCCATGAATAACAGAAGACAATTTGAGTGGCTGCACCGCCGCTTGGTCAGGTAACCATGACAAGCCAGTACCCTCCGGAAGACCTGAGCCAGTAGCTGTTCCGCGTGACTCAGTAGAGCCTTCCGAAAAGCGTCGCATAGTCCCAACCTTGTTGCAGGCGCGACAGCTTCCCCACCATTGACCTTCCGAGTGACCACAGCTCTCACAAACCCAAGCGGTTTTCGCTTTGCCTTTCTTCTTGTTCATAACTAGTTCGCCTGGATTCCAACCCCGGGAAAACCCACCCGCACTTGAAGCGGATTTTCTGGTAGATTTCTCATCGGATTTGTCTTCTCTGCTCGAGCTCGTGCCCTGTGTCTTCTCTGTATCAGGAT